CACCACTTCCAGATATACTACATTTAGCCGTCCTCCCAATCAAGATCCCCAAGACCGCCTTAGGGTTGTTGGTGCTATCTAGCCAATCGAGGATTTACATGCACAGCCTTATGCGGTATTACTTTCCATGACGCCATGTCACACGTAGTGCCCAGTCTTCTCTATGGCTCGGAACTCCTTCCAAGAATTCTTTATAGGCCAAATAAGTACTTTACATGGTCTTATCGTCACAGGGTTTCACATTCGAAAACTCCCGTAGGTTACAGAGATAATTAATTAAATTAATTACTACTAGCTATAATCGAACCATTGACCTTGTCTGTGGAGGATTAGGCGCCTAGACTACTAGGCTATGGGACCCTAACCTGTAGTGGAAAGAAATTAAAAACAAACCAGTACATGAAATCAAGAACATCATCGAAATTCTTACTCCTGTGATACCTACTGTTCAAGACTCCAACACTAGTGCCACCAACCTCAACACTGCTACTCATATCCTTAATGCTACCAACATCAATACCGCTTATAACCTTAATGCAGTTAATACTGCTAACACCAATATCCTAACCACTAATAGCCTTACTCAGGACCTTAATGCAGCCAATACTGCTAACACCAACACCCTAACCAACATCAATACTATTTATAACCTTAATGCAGCCAATACCAACATCCTGACAACTTATAGCCTTAATCTTGCCGACACTAATATTATTTAGCCACCTCATAGCCTCAATACTACCGATATCAACATAACTCAATCTATCTATAACCTCAGTTCTACTGATATTGATACCATTCAGCCAATCCATAACCTCAGTACTGCTCCTGTCATACTGCTACGAATAATCGAGGAAATCATTGTTCCTGATTCATCTCCATCAAACGCAGCAGCACAAAAGCGAGCTGTAGAAATTATTAATGATACAAATAAAAAGATTGCTAAATGTCAAAGAGCCTATAACTTAACGAATAGCTTAGAGGATCGAATTAACTTAATGAATGATATACAAGAACACAAACAAGTTATCTATACAAAAAATATGAGAATTAACCACCTACAAAAGCAAGCATAGTATAAACGTAATAGTGTGGAAAAAAGGTTATTATTAATATTAATAAGGCCACGCAAAGTTAAATTTTCATTTTACATTACCTGCTGTCCCATTTTTTCATTTTTTTTTTTTTTTTTTAATTTCCAATTGCTACAATTATTCTATTTTTGCTATTTAATTTTTTTCTATAAATTATCCGGTATTATCCGGTAGAGACTGGTTTTCCAGAATTGTCTGATAAGACCTATGGAAAAATCCGACTGCCAATACACAAATTTCTGATTCCATGTTATCCAAAGCGTAAAATCAACTTCGTATGATCTTAGATGCAACATATAACAAATTAAAAAAAAAAAAAAAAAATATGTCTGTCTGTCCCGAATTTTGAAATCCATGTAATGCAAAATGAAAAATCAACTTTGCATAGCCTAACAATAATTAATTTAATTTTAAATTCAAATTCTAATACTTACTATTCTAGTTCTTATTAGAAATAAACTTTTAAAAGAAAATCAGGTGGTTGTTAAGTATAATAAACCCGGCTGCCCATCTTTATTACAAAAACATCCTGATTTACTTGATCGAATCCATGAGAGCATTGAGTTTGGGGCTGCAGATGAAAAAAGAAGAAAAGAGGTGATAAAAGTTAGAACAGTTGGCCATCTTGCAGAAAAACTTAGTAATATATATGGTGAATATATATCTAGAACAACTGTAAAAAATTATCTCTTGCCATCATATTCAAACTCGATAGCAGCCAAGGCCCATCATCATCCTGCAAATGTCACGGTCTCATCAGTTTCTAGAACTGATAAAACTGAGCACCCAGATAAACATTATTGTCTTGCCTCCGTAAAGGCGACAAGACTATTTGCATCATTATTTTCAAATTTTTCGGTTATCATTTCACAGGATGATAAGGCCAAAGTCCCTCTTGGCATCTCGGCAGTCGGTAGAACCTTCAAAGCTATACAAACAATTGGAGAGCCCGTTACAGTCCCTAATCACGATTTCCTGGTGGGTGAGCGGCAAAAACTAATTTCATCTTTGTACTTGATAATGAACCCTAATGATATGAGTACTAAACTCCGGAACAGCCAACTCTCAATCTTCATTCGCCCCCAATATGGAGTTGGTACAAGTTCCACAACCCACATGTACGACTTAAATTCGTTGGTGGAAGATAGCCATCTGGACGGTATACTAAAGATTGAAAATAAAGTTAAACCCATCTGGGTACTCCTTGTTGATGAGGGCCCAGATGAAAATCCCAGGCATATAAAAAATATTGTCCAATACTCAACAATATTTCGAACATTTGACCTGGACTATTTAACTGTTCAGATGCATGCTCCAGGTTAGTGTTCATATAATTATATTTCTGACCAAAATAGTAATCTTAAATAGAAATTTGGTCTCTATGGGGTGCATTTGGAGAGATCTGACTGTAATTAATTTTGTATAGTCTTAATTACTGCAACTAGTTACCTAAATATTAATTTTAATTATTCCAGGTCAATCCAAATATAACCCCATAGAACGAGGTATGACATCATTATCCTAAAAACTTGCAGGCGTAGTGTTTCCAGTGGATACCTATGGCTCCCACTTAAACTCCCAAGGCCAAGTTATTGATGAGAAACTTGCAAAAAGAAATTTCAGATATGCAGGAGAGTTGTTGTGTAATCTTTGGAACCGGGACCCATTATTTGAAAAGCTGGTTATAATGGAGTATGTTGAAACCAACAGCTCCCCATTCTCCATCAAGTTTCTAGGATCCAACGATGAAACTACTGTGCCCTGGGAGTGGCTAGAAGTTCATGCCAAAATATACAACTATTCTTTAGATCTAAGAAAATGCAAAAATATTTCGTGTTGCCCTCCAGTGCGATGCAAAGATGTCGCTGATTTTCTCGAGGAAATTGACGGGTTTCTCTCTCCAGTAATAATAGGTATAGATGGACACTATGTCAATTTTATACATTTGTTGAACTTTTTCAACAAAGATAAGATACCAGGCTATGATGCCGATTGTCCCTCAATTGGCAAAGACAATTATGCATAACTTTGTTGTATGGAATGTAACAAATATTTTCCAACGGCATCAATAGTCACCACTCACAAGAGAAGTCAGCATCCCAAAAAATGTGGACGACCTAAAAACCTGGTGTCAGAGCCAACAAATATTGCTTAGGATAACAATAACAGGGAAGAAGCCTGTCCAAAGAAATGTGAAAGACCACAAAAGCTACTAGAAAATAATAAATAAAATGCAAATAAAAAAAAATTGAAAAAGCAATTGTTAAGAAAAAAATAATAATAATAAAAAGGATATTGCTAACTTGCCCCTGGTTAATCACCAGGATGCTATATCTCTAAAATATATTAAATAATTAAAATTTGGGCCTTTAAATCAAATTTTTATTATATTATATAAACCTCTATTTCATGCGTATTAAAATTGCACCTTGATCCTAAAAATTAGAGGCAATTTACATCACTAAAATTAGTTATTTTCTAATAAGTTTTAATGTGATGACAGGTTTCATTGTTACGTAGTTAAACTCACTCATATATACAATATTAGATCTTATACCCGCTATAAAAATGATTTTTTGTGAAATGATAAATCGAAATTATCATAAAATAAATCCTTATTAGTGCACCCACAAAAAATTGTATCCCATAATTTTGACAAAAAAATAAGTAGATATAATGCCTGAGTGGCACAGTAACTAATATTATACTATAATACATAAGTGCCGTCGATGTATATAGTCCTACATGAATGTTTGAGTAGACAATTTTGTTTAATGAATTATCTATAAAAAAATGCTTTAAACTGTCT